ACAACCACACACACAAACCACACACTCACACACGTGTGTGTTTTTATAACCTACAAAAAAAAAAAATCCATCATCAACAAGAGAGGTGAGGCTGCTTCCGTTGCATTATCTTCACGCCGCCTCGCATGACCTGGTGTGTGCAAGTGGAGCGCACCGGCACAGAGACAGAAACACGTTTGCAACATGTGAGAGAGAGAGAGGGAGAGGGAGAGGTAGTGGAGGAGACGAGTCAATGAAAGGATTGTGGAGGCTGGAACGCTTGGAAACACCTTGGCACGTCCTCCTGACCCCAAAGGCTCCGGATTACACGAACAAAATAGCTGAATATGCAAACCGCTGCCGTTAAATAAACGCAGTGCGTCGCTGCTCGTGTTTATCGTCGTCGTCGTCGTCGTCGTCGCTGAAGGATCAGAGAGGGAGATGACGTCCTTTGAAAGACAATAAGTTATAAAGGGAGGGAGCCAGACATGACACGTCCAGGCATTTACAGTATGCAAAGGGCAAACCGCAACACATTATTGCGCACAGATAAGTGTTGTGCACCGAGGGAGTGGCGAGCTGTGAACAAACTTTTGCCCTGTGTCAATCGGAGCCCAACGACAAGGTCCTGTCTGTGGTCGCTCACGTCGGGGGGACGCGGAGACCAGGATTAGGAATATCTCGGCGCGAGGCTTTAGTTTACATCCGCGCTCAAAAATGACACGCATTTCCGAAACCGCCGACCGCTTCGTGTTTCCGCTTCAAAATAAATACGTTTTATACCCCTCCCGCTGTATAATACGCACACACGCGCACACACAGACCATATTATAAGTGTTTTATACGTAAATGTGAAAAACAAATGCTTTGATTTTGTGTAATTAAACAGGAGGCAGTTAGTTAATAATAATAATATACTTTAATTCATTTAACTGCCTTTAATTTATCCCATGACAGTCCTGAGTGACCCATGTGAATACTCGTACATTAAAATAAAAAATATTTGTGTGTCCATATATATATATATATATATATATATAAACATTGTGCGTGTGTGTTTATAATACATATATTTATTTAGTTGAAAGCTAAGAGATACGATTACATTCATCAGAAGCGTCAAAACACCTGCAGGTAATTCTGCAGTGTGTGTGTTGTTTTAAAATAGATAAAAAGACTAGAAATCCCACTTTTGGGGTAAAAAAAAAGAGGCTTTTTGCTTAAAAAAAACTCCATCTCTACTGTTGGCGGCGGTGGCTTGCGAAACTTGGCCATAAAACTCGCTCCCCCAAAAAAAATCCTGTCTGGGAAATCTAACACACGTGATAATAAGGAGAGCGAGAGAGAGAGAGAGAGAGTGTGAGAGAGAGAGAGAGAAAAAAACAGAGAGAGAGAGAGAAAGAAAGAGAGAGCCTGAGTTGGGGCTAATCCCGTAAAATGGGTCGGGGTCTCTGACTGAGGCTGACGGACGTGTTTGGATTGGAACGAGAATAATAATAATAATAATGATGATGATGATGATGATGATAATAGGTGCAGTGATGTGTGTGTGTGTGTGTGGGTGTGCGTGTGGGTGTGTGCGTGTGGGTGTGTGTGTGTGCGTGTGGGTGTGTGTGTGTGGTTGCGGGGTGGGGGGGGGGGGGGTGTTGGGGGTGGGTGGGTGGGGAGTCCTGGGTTGCTAAGCTAACCTAAGATAATATAAGCTGGCAAACAGCGCTGAGCTGAGCTGAGCCTTGACTCGCTGCCAGACACGTATTTTCCAAGAATCGAGCTGCGTCTTTATTTAGTCATTCCTGCACATGAAGAACTCGAGCCGGAAACGTGACTGTGTGTGTGTGTGTGTGTGTGTGTGTCTGTGTGTCTGTGTGTCTGTGTGTCTGTCTGCAGGTCAACACTGGGTGAGGCAATGAAACTGTGCCACGAAACCGTGCAGAGCTGCGAAACCCACCCGTTCTGACTCCCTCCGACACCGGCTCGCCCTCTCTTTCTCTCTCTCGCTCTCTCTGTCTCTCCTTCCACCCCCCCCCACCCCCATCTCCCCCACACCCCAGCCCACCCCTCTCCCCTTTGCTCTCTCCCCTTCTCGTTCGCCCCCTTACTCTCTAGCCCCCCTTTTTTCTTTCTCCCCCCCCCCACACCCACCTCTCTCCCCTCTTATCTCTCTCTCTCTCTTTCTCCCTTCTCCCTCTCTCCCCACCTCTCTCTTTTCTTTGTCCCCCTCTCCTTGTTCTCTCTTTCTCGCTCCTCTCTCTTCCTTGCGTCTGCTTTCTTCTCTCCCCCATCCCCCCCCCCCCCCCCCCCCCCCCCCCCCCCGCCCACTCCACTCTCTCTCTCTTTCTCGTAAACGAACAAAAGGAAAATCAATAATTACCAGTTGGCGGGTAACTGACCCCCGGAACATGCTGGAAAGTCCCAAGTCGTTGGTTGCCTCTATCCACCTTTCAAACGCGCCCAAATCCATCCATTAATTCACCTTTCAGCGTGAACCGTAGCGCGTTTGTGAGACGAGAAAGTCACCGGATTGGGTGAAAGGTATTGGACCATATTTAAAGATTTTAATTCTGATCAGCACATCTCGCTCTAACCCCCCCCCCCCCCCCTCATCCTGGTGGGAGGTGGGAATTAGCGAGCCAACAAAGACCAGAGAGACTCCAATTCCTTCCCTCCGAGGGATTTAAAGTACCTCAAGGGAGAAAGGAGCACTTCAAAGGGATAAATAGGAGTGAGTGATTGTGCTCTCCGAAGCTCAGTGACCTGAGCACTTCTGCATTCTTTCTAAAGTCCACACGACTTGGTATGAGAACTGGAACCACAGCATTCCTACCCAGCCGGTAGCGGAGAGCTGAACCCAGTGTCCGGCAACGACAAATTGCGTTCGACAGTGGGGCAAGCGCTTACACGAGAGCTTGGGGGGAGAGGGGAGGTGAAGAGGAAGATCTTCAGGCACTACCTGAAGATGGGGAAGGAGCGACGAGGCGGAGAGATTGAGCAAACGAGTTCCAGAGTTTCAGGGTGTAGTGGCTGAAAGCACAGCCACCAACGCATGAGTGGCTTTGCTAAGCTTTGGAAGCATTTTGACGCACCAATGTATTAAGCAACTTGACTTAGGTTGGTAAATGGACGTCTCCGCTGAGTATATTGCTATGAATATGTATTGTCACTGAATCCACGACGGTTTGTGGGACACTGCTGTGCGCAATTGGCTGCCTCGTTTCGCCCACAGAATACACACTTAATCCATTTTCCAATATATTCTGTGAAGCGCTTTGTGACGTCTCAACGTGATAAGGCGCTGCATCAAATGCCAGGATTATTATTATACTGTTACCAACTATTTAATGCAGCTTAACTGACCAGAGCAAAATTGATAGCAGGTGAGAGAGACAGATAGATATATAAACACATCCGTAGAATTGTTGCTCTGTATATCTTTATATTTATATATTTCAGATATATATATATATATATATATTTATATATAATTATACAAGTAGTTCCACAGGAAAAAAAATATTTTATTAATCTTTTTTTAAACGAATAGTAACATTTATGTATAGACAAAATATTTACAGCACAATATATCCATCTGCTGAAAGTTTCCAAAAATAGTCTTTGCGTGTCTCTTCCTATACAAAACTAATCTTTTGTCTTTTTTTTNGTTGTTTGAAAACATTAATCTTCCTCCATTTCCTTGCAATCTCGAGCCTTTCCAGTATTCACGCAAATACAAGCTTTAACTAGCAAACATGTACCGGCTGACAAAACCAGAAAGGCAACGTTTTTTTTAAAAAAAATAATAGCCCCCCCCTCCCACACCCCCCCACCCCCACCGCAACCCCTAAATAAAAAGGAAAATTGTGGTTTCTCATTTTCTTTTGGGGTTGGGGCGGGATGGGCGGGAAATAAGGAAATAACAAACCAAAAACCTTCACGAGTTGTCAAAAGCAAGTTCGTATGTCAAAGGGCTCGTGACTGACTGGGCGAGGAGGGGGGTGGGGTGGGGGTGGGGGGGGGGGCGGAGGCGGGTGGGTGTGTGGATTGGGGGTGGGTGGGAGAGGGGTCTGAGGCGTTCTACAAATCCGTCCGCTCGCACCAACAACCTGTACCCCCCCCCCCCCCAAAAAAAACCCTCGGCGGACCCGACGTTCATCTTAAACCTCCAGAAAAACAGAAACCACCGAAAACGTACGCGGAGGCATTTCCAGACGAAGTTGCGCCCTTTCGCTCGGAAGCACGTTCACCGGCGGCGGACCAGTTAGCCCCCGCTCGGCATTGCCCCCCCCCCCCCCCCCACTTCAAACAGCCTGCTAGGACTATACTCGCGTTTGCCCGTTTCGTTTGAAATCCGTCCTGCAAAATATATATGTACAAAAGCGGCCACGTTTAATAATATTTGGTGCTTTTAGACTCTGTGGAGGGGAAGAGGGTTTGGGGGGTTTGGGGGGTGGGGGGTGGGTGGGGGGGGGGTTTAAGCAGCATATCAGTGCTTCAGACAGGCCATAGCTGAGTTCCTTGGCTATGATTACAGCATTAAGCTTGAAGCAGCATCTCTAAAAATTTCACCATTTACATTCATTTCACAAGGCAAGTGTGTTTACACCTCTGAAACTACAACTTTGGAAGTTTTTTTTAATTTCTCTCTCCCTCTCTCTCTCTCTCTCACGCATGCACGCACTCTCTCTCTCGCTCTCTCTCGCTCTCTCTCTCTCTCTGCTGGAAAATACGCACAGTTAAAAATAAAACTCTTGAAATCCATTGCACTTGTTTTTTTTTCTCTCTCTAAAACTCTGTCCGTTTTAAGTCCGTCCGCCCGCAGGCTTCGGCGCACGACTCCGAACAGCGGCCGGCCTTTTCCTGGTGAGCGACTGCGAACGAGACGTTCGTGGCGGTTTCGAGCTCGCTCCAGGGTCCATCAAAATGGCAGCAACGTCGAGTGTAAACACAGAGCCATCCTCGGGGTGGGGGGGGGGGGGTAGGGGCTGGGCGGTGGGGGTTGGCGAGAGGGGTGGGGGGGGGGGGGGTTTGTGGAGGTGGGAGGGGGAAATCGTGTCCCGTTTTAAATTACGACGACTTTTTCTCTCTCTCGGTCTCTCTGTCTCTCATTGTAAACGCACTGTGTAAGAGTTTGTTCCCCGGGAACGCCCCTTTGCGAGGATTCCGTCTTCAGTCTTTGGTTTCCGCAGCCAACGAGGGCACGTGTTTGAGAGCCTGGATCAGGGCCGACGTGTCCATGGCGGGGGAGGCGGAGATGGGGGAGGCGGGCCGCGGGGGCATGAGCAGGGGAGAGAGTTTATCCGGGCTCATCAATCCCGTCAGAGCGGCCGGTCCCGAAATACCGGGGTACAAGACGGGCATCGAGGTGGGATACCAGCACTTCTCCAGCATGGGCATGTAGGCGGCAGCGGCGGAGGGGGGCAGCAGGTAAAAAGGCAGGCAGAGAGGGGGCGGGTGGTGAGCCAGGAAACCGCCCCCGCTCAGATCCCCGGTGACGACTCGCATGTCGTCCTCGCAAGGCTCCATCCTGGGCTTCTTCAGCAGCGGCTCCTCGTATTCCCGTTTGATGGAGATCATGCGCTCGGTCAGCGGGTGCTTGAGCTTCCCGTCCCTCTCGCCGCCGGCTCGCTCCAGCTCGTGTTTGGAGTCGCCCTTGTCGGGTTCCCCTCCGTACCCGCTGTCGGTGTCGGTGTCGCTCCCGCTCTGCTCCCCGCCCGCGGCCGGGCAGGTCCTCTGGATGACGGGCACGCAGTTCTTGCCGTGGCCCTCGGCCCTGCTCAGGGCCTTGGCTCGGTAGTCTTCCTCGGGGAGCCTGCCGGACGCGGGGACGTTAACGTTGAGGTATTCGCCCGGGAGCAGCTCGGCCCCCACGCTCTGGAGGTGGCTGATCAAATGGGACGGCTTCACGTCTCGGCTGTTCTCGTGCTTGGCCAAGTACTGCAGGACCTCCTTGGCGCACGTCTGGAAGCCAGACTGGAAGAGGTTGTGGCCCGTCTCGGGGGCTTGGACCATCTGTTCGCCTGAGAACAAGAAGCGATGGGGGGGGGTGGGGAAGAGGGGGGTTGGTGGGGGGTGGGGGGAGAGAGCGTTAAACCAGGTACCTCACGGCTCCACTCCTCTCCGCGCTCCACGCACAGTCTCTCTTTTTGTAACGGTAACGCACTTCAGGTAAACGCGAGGACGTGCCAATTTCCCCCTCCCTTGCCCCCACGCCACAGCCCTCCCCCCCCCCCCCACCACTCTGCCCACCAACCAGGACCGGCCCCCCACCCGCCCCATCTGCAAACAACAGCTGCTCAAATCTCATCGCGTACGAAACTACAATCCATTCGGGAGGGACTTCCCACAGCCCTCAACAGTTCTGCGTCACCACAAAAACACACAGTCAATTCACTCCGCAGGATAATCCCGTGAAGCTCTTTAGAGACGTCTGAATGACGTGATAAGGTGCCATGTCAAATGCAAGGATGATTATCATTATTATGATGATGATTACTATTATCACTGGCTGGGGGGAGAGGGAGGGAGGGAGGGAGGGAGGGAGAAAATAAAAGGAAAGCCACATACATGTACGTAACATACATATATTTTAATTGGAAATTCTAGCGACGCGTTCCTTTTGGGGGGAGAAAAAAGGCTCTCGGTTCGGGTGAACGAGAAACTAAAATGGGTCTTTCGACCGAGGCTACAGTAGTTGAGTTTCTTCTGCACAAAATAAAAACCCCAGAGCCACAGACCACAAGACAAGGAGTTGCCAGTCTGCCCGGCCCACCTCCGCTGCCAAGACTTTATTGTGCGTTCGACACACGGACGTTAGCTGGGAGGCAGTTTGTCAAAGTAGGTCCGCAGTAGAAACTTCCGGAAGGTTAAACAGTGAGCGGCTGTTGACGTTGGCACACGTCCCCGAGCCCCATTGTACAACTGTCAAGATTTCAGTGTCGCTGTGTCAGTGTTAAGTGGAGGGCAGTGGGTGAGGTGAAGGAGGGTGTGTGTGGGGGGAGAGAGAGAGAGAGAGAGAGGGGGTGTGGGGGGGGCTGTGCTGTGTGTATCTCGTTCCAGGGTTTATTTCAACCCCAGAGAGACCGAGCTTTCACTGTAAACAGCCACCCCCCACCCCATAAAAAAACCCCAAACCAAGCACGCAACAAAAACAAAACGCAATAATAATAAGAAGAAGAATCCTTGCGTTTGATACGGCACTTTGTCAGGTCTTCGAGACGGCTCGAAGCGCTTCGCGGGATATACCGTCAAGCGTAGCGACCGCGTGTTTTTGTGGGTCGAATCATTGAAACGCACCGGGAGTTTTTTTTTTGTGGTGGTGGCGGGTGCGGTGGGGGTGGGGGGGGGGGACCAGAATCTCCGCTGTGTTTATTTTGAGAGAATTGAATTGGTACACGAACAGAACCTTGAACTTGTCACACGCAGCCCCTTGGAGGACGGGGAAGGGATAAGGGGGGGGGGGCGGGGGTATGCGGGGGGGGGGGGGATTCCCAGGGCTGGAAACTTACCGATCTGTATTCCGTTCTGCAGGGCGAGGATTTTCTGCTGTTGTTGTTCGATCAGACTGCTCAATGCCTTGACGTGCTTCAAGGTAAGCTCAAGCACAACCGCTTTCTCCAAGTGTCCCAGAGTCTGAAACGAATCGATCGACGTGCATTATTAACCCCGACGGGATTTTACCTACTGTGTGCGGCGGTAGTGATGGTGGGGGGTGGGGGTGGGATGGGGGGTCGTGGACCGGGGGGTGTTTGTGGTAAGGCGTGGGTTTTTAAATACAAACCCGTGTACGGGGGTGGTGGGGCCGGGGGAGGAAAACAAGGAGGTAGATGGGGTCGATTTTGGTGCAAGTGATCTAAATTTGGCATCTGGTTCTACTCGCCAAGCTTTCCCCGAGCAGCAGTGAAACCGTTAAAGGACAGACGAGATTAAAGTGAGAGACAGACAGACAGAGGGGGAGAGCGAGAGAGCGAGAGAGAGAGAGAGAGAGAGAGAGCGATGCATTGCAATGTGGAGTGGGTGTTTCGAACCATCGATAAGCATTGACAACATTGAAAAGCTTGACAGCCCCCACCCCCACTCGAACACGCACGCACGCACGCACGCGCGCACACACACGCACGCGCGCACGCGCGCACACACTCCATCTAATCACAACCAAAAGGTTTTAAGTGAGAAATAGCAATGCGATGCGAAGCGAGTCCAGTCCACGTTCGATTTGATGGGATTGCCTTATTTTAAGACAGGGACCCCGCCTCCCCCCCACCCCCCGCCGCCCCCCGCCCCATATTTTTTGGTGATGGTGGGATGTCGAGACACGAGCCAGAGATGCACCGTCAAGTGGGAAACCCCCAGTCGTGGGTTATGTAAAAAAAAACCATAACCATCTCGTTCCCTTGTGAACCCTAAGGCTTCTATTTCAGATATAATTCAGATACTGTTTCCTCCCCCCACCCCCCACCCCTCACACACACACAAACACACACATTCCCCTCCCCAATTGCCAAACCTCCCAGTACTTTGACAGCCAACATTGCATTGCGTAAATTCCATTCCTTCCCTCGATGGGTTTCTCGAAAGCAGTTTTAATTTGGCTATTTTTTTTTAGGGGGGGGGGGTGGGGGGGTTGGGGGGTAGGGGGTGGCGGAGAGAGGGAATACATAAAAATAATAATAATAATCCTTGCGTTTAATATAGCGCCTTATGCCATCTTCGAGACGTCTCAAAGCCCTTCACAGAATATACCGTGAAGCGAATTGACCGTATACTTTTGTGTGTGTGTGTGTGTATGTGGGGGGGGGGGCGTGGGGGGGGGGGGAAGGAAACCTAAATACTGCAGGTCTTGTTCCAATTTTTATTTAAAATCTGATAGATTAAGAAGATAAAAAGGTGGACTGATGGTGCTTTCAGCGCTGTAAGGAAGCAATCCTCCACACACAGACAGACACAGACAGACAGACAGACAGACACAGACACACAGACACAGACACAACCCCGAAAAGATATCAGGTCTAAATTGCAATGCCTCTTACCGTCAATTTAAGGTGCTCTGGAAGCATATCTTTCAGCTGTGCAATACATTCATTTATTCTATCTCGCCTCTTCTTCTCAATCAGCCGATGGGGCAACTTATAGGTCTCCTGAAATCATTTTATTTTGACATATAGGTTTAAAAAAATATATACAGTACTCTCTTACACACACACACACACACACACACACTCCCTCTCTCTCTCTCTCTCTCTCTATATTATATGATGATTATTATTTATACACATATATACACATTTATGTCATACATATTAGGAAATGGTTTGCAGGGGGGAAAGAAAATGTCATTAGCTTCTCCCAAAACATACACAGATTTGGTGCAAAACCCATGTTATTTCAATCCCTCCACACACACACACACACACACACACACATAACACAGTTACTTAAAACATGAGCCAGACTTTTAGTGCAATAGAGTGTAAAGGGGAAAGGGAGAGGGATTAAAGGGGGAGAGAGAGAGAGAGAGAGAGAGGCAGAGAGATGAGAGACAAGTCTAGAATTTCCTACCTTACTGTCCTCGTTTCTCTTTAATCCTCGTTTGGATTTATAAATAAACATATGAGAAAATTCCATTCTAAAGAGAGAGAGAGAGAGAGGGAGGGAGGAGAGGAGGAGGAGAGGAGGAAAAAAAAAAATGCACAAAAAAGAAAAATTAATCTTAATTTCTAACATCATTTTTTTTGGGGAAAAAAAATTTTTTTTTTTTCTCTAAATTTTTTTTGTAACCAAAGTCCATCCAGAAAGGTGTTTTTTTTTTTTTTTTTTTTTTTTTTTGGATGCGCGGAAAATAAAATGACTGATGGTTAAAACACGTTTGAAATTAAAAAAGAAAAGCTCTGGGGAGGGGGGGAGAGAGGGAGGGAGAGGGGAGAGGGAGGGAGAGGGAGGGAGGGGTAGGGAGAGGGGAGAGGGAGGAGGGAGGGAGAGGGGGGGAGAGGGGGAGAGGGAGGGAGAGGGGGAGAGGGGGAGAGGGAGGGAGAGGGGGAGAGGGAGGGAGGGAGAGGGAGGAGAGGGGGAGAGGGAGGGAGGGAGTGGGGGAGAGGGGGAGAGGGAGAGGGGGAGAGGGAGGGAGGGAGTGGGGGGACACTGATCAGGAGATGATGGCTTTAAAGGGCAATTAATATAAAGCAGAAATAATTCTCCTACCCTTGCACTTCGTGGTCAAACGGTGGTATTTTGGGCTGTGAAGTTGTCAGCCTTTCCATTTCAGAATCTCTGGTCTTCACTCTCTCTCTCTCTTCTCTTTCTTTTTCTCTTTCTTTCTTTCTCTCCTTTCTTTTTCTGTCTCTCTCTCTCTCTCTCCTTTCTGCTTTGCTGGAGCTCTCCTTCACTCACTCACTCACTCACTCACTCTCTGACACACAGTGTCTCTCTGTCTGTGTGTGTGTGTGTGTGTCTGTGTCTCTCTCTCTTGTCTGTCTGTCCCTGTGTGTGTGTGTGTGTGTGTCTGTCTCTCTCTCTCTGTCTGTGTCTGTGTGTCTCTCTCTGTCTATATGTGTCTGTGCCTCTTAGTCTATGTCTGTCTGTCTCTCTCTCTCTGTCTATGTGTGTCTGTGTGTCTCTGTGTCTGTGTGTCTCTCTCTCTGTGTCTGTCTGTGTGTCTCTGTGTGTCTGTGTGTCTGTGTGTCTCTCTCTCTGTGTCTGTCTGTGTGTCTCTCTCTGTGTCTGTGTGTGTCTCTGTGTGTGTGTGTCTGTCTCTCTGTCTGTGTCTGTCTCTCTGTCTGTGTCTGTCTCTCTGTCTGTGTCTCTCTGTGTCAGTACAGGAGTGCACAGTCCTGTGGAGGAGACTCAGTGTTTTGGTGCAGACACCACTTTTGCTTTGGCTTTAATGAACGTGTGGGTGGACGAGGCTACGTGTTAAACCCTGTGACTGACTCTGGGCACGTCTTTTTTCTGCTTTTTTTTTACTGTAACAGCCCCTGAACAGTCACATGAGACTCACGTGTTGTGAGAACCTGTATACACATCTCTCTAATCTGTCTCTGCACACAAGACAGGGGGAGAGAGAGAGAGAGAGAGAGAGAGAGATGGAGAGAAAGAGAGATGGAGAGATGGAGAGAAAGAGAGATGGAGAGAAAGAGAGATGGAGAGAAAGAGAGAGAAAGAGAGATGGAGAGAAAGAGAAAGAGAGAGAGATAGAGAGATGGAGAGAGAGAGAAAGAGAGAGAGATGGAGAGAAAGAGAGAGAGAGATGGAGGGAAAGAGAGATGGAGAGAAAGAGAGAGAAAGAGAGATAGAGAGATGGAGAGAGAGAGAGAGAAAGAGAGATGGAGATGGAGAGAAAGAGAGATGGAGAGAAAGAGAGAGAAAGAGAGATAGAGAGATGGAGAGAAAGAGAAAGAGAGAGAGATGGAGAGAAAGAGAGAGATGGAGAGAGAGAGAGAGATGGAGAGAGAAGAGAGATGGAGAGAAAGAGAGATGGAGAGAAAGAGAGAGAAAGAGAGATAGAGAGATGGAGAGAGAGAGAAAGAGAGAGAGATGGAGAGAAAGAGAGAGATGAGAGAGAGAGAGAGAGATGGAGAGGAAGAGAGATGGAGAGAGAAGAAAGAGATGGAGAGAAAGAGAGATGGAGAAAGAGAGAGAGATAGAAAGAGAGAGATGGAGAGAGAGATAAAGAGAGAGAGAGAAAGAGAGAGAGAGAAAGATGGGGAGGAGGAGAAGTTGGAGTGAGAGGCATCAGATTGGGAAAGGAGGGGAGAGAGGAGAGATCAGAGGAAGCAGATCACAGTGTAGCAAATAACTCCCTAATAATTGCTTAAATTTATCTCCACCCCCCCCCCCCCAGAGAAAAAATATATACCGTATGACACCCAAGACTACATATTCCATTCCCCCCCTCCCTCCCTCCCTCCCTCCCTCTCCGTCTCTGGAACTCCATCCCCAGTGCCTTCGCCGCCTCCTCCCTTTCCTCCTTCGAGGCCGGTCTCAAGACCTTTCTCTTTGACCGTACCTTCAGCTCCACTCTCGACTCCCTACCCCCTCCTCGCCCCCTCCCTTCCCTCCCCTCACCCTGACCATCTCCCCCCTCCTCGCCCCCTCCCTTCCCTCCCCTCACCCTGACCATCTCCCCACTCCTCGCCCCCTCCCTTCCCTCCCCTCACCCTGACCATCTCCCCAATCCTCGCCCCCTCCCTTCCCTCCCTCACCCTGACCATCTCCCCCCTCCTCGCCCCCTCCCTTCCCTCCTCTCGCCCTGACCATTTCCTTCCTCCTCGCCCCCTCCCTTCCCTCCCCTCACCCTGACCATCTCCCCCTCCTCGCCCCTTCCCTCCCTCGCCTGACCATCTCCCCCTCCTCGCCCCCTCCCTTCCCTCCTCTCGCCCTGACCATTTCCTTCCTCCTCGCCCCTCCCGTCCCTCCCCTCACCCTGACCATCTCCTTCCTCCTCGCCCCCTCCCTTCCCTCCCCTCACCCTGACCATCTCCCCCCTCCTCGCTCCCTCCCCTCACCCTGACCATTTCCCCCCAATGCTCGGGTCCTGACCCAACTGTCCAGCGCTTTGGGACGTCCTCCCGACGTGAAAGGCGCTTTATAAATGAAATCTTGTTGTTGTTGTTGTTGTCTGTCTCTCTCCAAGTGAACCAGGTTTTATGATCAGATCATTTTATGATCTCATTTTACAATCTGATCATAAACCCACTTTTTTTTGGGGTGGGGGTGTGGGGGGTGTATTGTGTGGACAGTCTCTCTCTATCCCCTCCCCATCCTACTTTGTGAATTGAAACACATTTTTTGTTGTTGTTGTTGTTGCTTATTTCCTCCAGGGTTTCTTTTTGGAGGAGGGCGGAACGGTGAAAGGTTTCCCCCTCTTTCCTTCTCTCCTTCCCCCTCTCCCCCCCCACCCACCCCCTTTTTCTCACACTCCCTCTCTCCTTCTCTCTCTCTCTCTCTCTCTCTCTCTCCCCCCTCTCTCTCTCTATCTCTCACTCCCCGCCATCTCTCACTTCCCCCTCTCACTCTCTCCACAAACTCTTGTCCCGTGTCGCAGGACGTTGGCGTGTCCTCTCCATTTCGCACGTTGGGAAAATTAGCGCGTGAAAGTCATTCAAATCTAAATAAATCTCTTATTAATTACGGGATAATCTACCGGTCTGGGCATGAGTTAGGGTCGGCTCAAGCACTCCGGGACACTACCCCGTGTTGAGGGCGTCATGTAAATGCAAGTTGTTGTTGATTGCCTACAAGACACTCTCGTCTCCCCTCTCCTCTCTCTGTCTTTACCTCAACCAGCAAATCACTCTCGTGTCTATCAGCCAAGTAATTAATTACTCAACTCAAGTCTTCGCTGCCGCAGATTCTGGCTTCAATGTGAAGCAGTTCCGCCGAACTACGAAGAGGGGAAGAGACTGGAAAGGCGGATGGCAATCAAAATTTCTATTTTGTTCAATGAAAGTCACTCAGGGCGACTTGCGTGTTTTTTTTTAAAAAAGAAAGCACATTTTTTTTTATTATTACATCTTGCGTTTTATATTCACGAGAGCATCCTTTCGAGCTGTGCGATCCTACTGAGGGGGGAAACCAAAAGTGGGGGAACGAAAAGCACACACAAAAACTAAGGATTCAGCAACAGAAAAGCAACTGAGAAAAGCAAGGGTTAAGCGTTACATTTGCCACACTCCCTCCCCTCGAAATTCTATGGGGGAAGAGACATCTCACTGCTTTTGACCCTAAATGACACTTCGACATAATGCAGCGGAACTGACTTTGCTCGCGATTAAAAATGGGCCAAAGAAAAAAAAAATAAAAAAAAAATACACGTTGAGAATGAAATTACCCTCTTAACCCCTTCCTCCCCGATTCGATTGAATTGCAGTTTAGCGAAAAGGAAATGGGAGGTAGTGAGGGGCCGAACGTTTGGGATTTCGGAGTGGGTGGGAGGGGGGGTGGGGGATGGTTTGCGCGCGCGTGTGCGTGCGTGTGTGTGTGCGTGCGTGTGTTTGAGAGGGGGCTATTCCTAATCCCTATTGGTTTTTGTTCCTGGTTATTCTCCTCCCCGTATCACATCACACTTCCAGTCCACCCCCTTGTTTGACTGTCGCACTAGCGTGAGGTTGCCAGCATCGCCCCGACTGACAAACACACACACCACACACACACACACACACACACGGAGCAGCTGCTGCTGCCGCTAAAGCCTTGGTCATGGGGATGTGAACGTGACAGAAATCACCACACAGCACGGCATCAACGGCGGGGGCAGCAATTTCACATCTCTTTCTTGCCAGACACCCCCACCACCCAGAATAGCAGAGAAGGGAGGGCAAAGAGTGTGGGGGGGGGGGGGGAGTTGTGGGTGGGTGGGTACTGTTTTTAATGAGATTTTCAGCTGCCTTTATATGTGTGACAACACCATTTTTCATGACACAGACACGGCGTGACCTTTACATCAAGTGGATTTCCTATCACCTCTCATGTCGACCCTAACCTTGGCGTGTTGTTGTGTTTTTTTTTGTGTGGGGGTTGGGTGGGTGGGGGGGGGGGGGAAGTGGGGAATAATAGGGTATCTTGACACGTGCGGAAACCCATCACCGGGTTTCTGAGCGTCCAGGTCAGACTGCGAGTCCCTTCGTTTAATAGTGACCGACACGTGTGAGAACGTACGTATTGGTGACTCGTGGGAATGGAAAACATCTCTTATCTATACAGAGAGAGAGAGAGATGGAGAGAAGGAGAAATAGAGAGAGAGAGAGAGAGAAATAGAGAGAGAGAGGATGGTTAAGAACAGAACCTTATTGGAGAGGTGTGGGGGTGGGGGTGGGGGTGGGGGGGGAGATGCGATTTTAAACAGAAAGGATTTTATTCAAGTTTATTTTGGGGGATATTTTAAAACAAGCGAAAGGTCCTGATGTTTAGCGCATTGACACAGCGCAGGTGAGAATACGCTGTAGAAATCGTTTTTATTTTCCAGACACACAAAAGCAGACGACAGACAGCACACTATTACCCACAGACACACACACACACACACACACACACACAACACACCCACACCCACGCACCCAGACGCAGACACACTTGGCAATGAATGCTTCACTATTGCTTAAGTCAGCCTTGACTTTTATCTCTCGCCGGCCGGCCGGCCACTGCTCCCACGCCCAGGGAAACCATGGCAGATGTTGAACCCACGGTTATTGCTGGCTGGTTGCACGCTGAGATTTCCCAGACAGGATATTTACACGTGTTTGACTACTCGCGAAGGCTTCACCTCGCCTCCCTCTCACCCACCCACTCCATCCCAGCCATTTGGGGCAGAGCAGAATCTAAATTTCCCCCAACACAGAGATAACATCTGTGTGTGTGTGTGTGTTTGTGTGCGTGTAGATAATCTGAAAGCAGTTAGTAGGTCAATTTCTCGAGTTCAGTGACTTTTGTTTCTCTCTTTCGCAGCCGTAGATGAACGTGATTGATAGCTTGGACGGTCTCCACACTCAATTGCTAATCACCCACCCACCCGCCCACCCGCTTCCTCCTTCCCCCTCCCCACCCCACACTCACCCCCTCTTTTTAAGCCACTCACCCTGACCGTGATGAACGATTTAACCACACAAGTTCTTCACAAGTGCAGACTCGAACGAGGTGTCACTCTTTCTACGCCTCTCTCAAACCCCTCCTCTCCTTCACCTCTCCCAACAAACAACCATAAATAAAAGTGTCATGACATTACGTGCAAGCAAACTCCTGATAACTCGTCACTCCGAGGGTAAAGAGCTCAGTGATGAGTTAGGCGTGCGCATAAATATCCCTCAAGAAAAAAAATTAATACATCGGTCGTTTCAATCCACGGCTGTTTGTGCGGACGCTGCTGTGCGCAATTGGCTGCCGCGTTTCGCCCATAAATATACAGTCAATTTGCTTTACAGTATATTCTGTGAAGGGCTTTGAGACGTCTCGAAGACGCAAGTGCAAGGATTATTATTATTATTATTATTATAAATGCATCAATCAATGCAGCCGGGATATTGACAGGATGATGACTTAAGTGGTAGCGATCAGGTAAGCCAGAGTCGAGTTATCAGGAGTTTGCTGTGTATAAACCCCCTCCCCACAAATAATAAGAGTGACCTGGTTATTCTCTGAGGACCTGGGCCAGAAAAAAAATTCAAATCAAGGGGTTTACCCCCTTTTTTAATGCCCCCCCCACACACACACAGAGGCCAATTGCTGTAATACGTCGCAGAGATTACACAGTCACTACACTTTACAGTAATTCCCGTGAAGCACATTCAGACGTCCTCCCGACGTGAAAGGCGAGTTACACCAAGAACAAGGATTATTATTATTATTATTATTACGATGTTATTACTGTTTAAGTTACCCTGTAGCGGTCACTCCTAAATATTTTTCAGCGATGGTCGATCAGACCAATAATATTGACGCTTCACTTCTCTCGATGTGTCTGAGTTTCCTGAAACAGCCACTTTTTTAAAAACAGTTTCACTTTATTATTGGTTGTTGTTATCGTAGCACAGACACAGGCAAGACAACCGGAACAAGTGACATTTACACGTCCCAGGGCGCTGGACAGTCGGGGATTTGGACCCGAGCCGGGGGTTCGGGATCAGGAAGGGGGTGGAGGGCGGCGGGGGGGGAAAGTGGGGGTAAGGGGGTGACCGAAAGCGAATCCTTTTGGAGCGCCCGTCAGTCAAGCGCGTGCTGAGTCCCACTGCGTGTTACTGGTGTGAACGGTACAGAGCGATGGACCATGTGAGAGTCACATTTAGTTGCTGAACGGCATGTGTGCAACATTAGCAAATTGCTCTGAATCTTGTGGTGGAATCTGATCTGATCACAGGGACTGGATTGTGACCCAACAATAATTAAAACGCCGCCCAAATTCAGTTATACTCAACCGCATTCTGCATTTCACTTGTTTTTGAAGGGGGAAATAAAAAAAAAACAAGAAACTTTCCGCTTAAAAAAAAACAACAAAAAACAGTCCGTTCGTAAATACGAATATTGCAAGTTTGTGACTTGGCCTAAAAGTTTGCTGACTTGAAGTCAATTCACTTTACAGCGTATTCCGTGAAGCGCTCTGAGACGTCTGGAAGATGTGGAAAACGCTATCTCAAATGCAAGGATTATTGTTATTATTATTACAAATAAATACACAGTCACGACACTCAACATCATATCCGCGTGAAGAAACGTTGAGGTGTTTCGCTTATTGGCACTGTATCGAATGCGAGTATATATCCGAATTGAGACGTATCTATTTAATGATCTTACTCCCCCCGTCCCCACAAACACACACATTTTTGTTTACAGGACAACACAGTCAACTGCACTTCACGGTAAGCCTTCGAGACGTCTTTCCGACGTGAAATGGCGCCTTACGTCAAAAGCAAAGCTTAAAAAAAACTCAAAATTTGGATCTCTCTCTCTCTCTCTCTCTCGATACATTTGGCAAAGACCATTTTCATTCTCTGAGCCCATTTAAACTCGTTGCTCATTCACCCACAAAATGTACGGTCAATTCACTTAACGGTGTCCACTGTGAAGGGCTTTGAGACGTCTCCGAGACGTGATAAGGCGCTGTATCAAATGCAGAGATTATTGTTGTTATTCGTTGCACTTTCCGCCCATGGATTTCTCTTGCGTTTGGGGCTTATCATGTGGATAGGGTTCCAAAACTAGAATTTATAGTACGCTGGAGTGAATTGATTTGGAGTGAGACAGAATACCAGCTGTGTGGTAGGAGAAAGTCCCAGTCAGTGCTCGGCATTTAACGTTCGGAGAACAATTATTCCTTACCACGTCTCCGGAAAAGCTTGACAGGTCATTAAAAACTTTTGCTTCCGCCGTCACAGCGTCTGATTGATGTCTGTCTGCTTCACCGCTGTATAAATGGGAGTCCAATGTGTGACTGTCGACATAGTTGATGTTCCTGGGTGCGTGTCTTTGAATCGTCTCGATTTATAGAAATCTAGACACTGCCTTACGGAGAATAAGCCAGAATGCGTGAATGGGCAGAGCGAAGGGTTAAGTTCTTGTGTGTCGAAGGTACAACTGCCCCCACACTACCCCCCCACCCCCCCATAAAGTGAATGATGCTTCACAAGACATGGCGACTGCTGTTTCCATTTGAAGAAATCATCACAAGGATCGAGAGCGGACAGGGTTCGGGTGGTGGTGGGGGGGGGGGGGGGGGGGGAAGAGAGGGGAAAGGGATAGTAGCAAAGTAATATGAAGAATAATAATCTTTGGGACTGAGATAAGCCGGAGCATGGCTCGAAGCGCTTCACAGGATGTACTATAAAGTGTAGTGACTGTGTGTTTCGTAGGCCAATTTGCACACTGCAATGTCCCCCCGATGATCAACCTTTTGGGGAGGAGGGGGGGGGACTATTGGCCGGGACGCTGGGAGAAATTTTCCTTTTGCGAAGAGCGCCGCGGGATCTCTAAGGTGCACCTGTGACCAGGCAGACGGGATCGTGGCGTAGTCTGTGCTGAGAGATGGCAGGGTACGATAATGCAGCATTTCGCTCGACTCGTCCCGACGTGAAACTTGAACCTACAGCTTTCTGACGCAGGTGGCAGTGATACCAGCTGAGCATGCAAACGGATCCTTTGATATTAATCCCCACGTGAAAGTTCAACCCAGCTCCCGGTAGGGCGGAGGACAGCCGGTTTATCTATTGAAAAGAGGTCGCCGTTTCATAGGCTTCGCCCCAAATCAAAACGCCCGATGCAGGTGACAATAATTAAAACACCTTAATAACCTGAAAGCACACATTCCGAAGCAGCTTCATATATTTATTAAATAGCTTTTCTTATGGATCTTACAATGGTCAATATCAAGCTTGACTTATATAATACTATTAGTGCTTTTAATGTGTATATTTACTCGGTCGTTAACACTGCAGTTCCGGTCACGAATGTAGGTCTGCCATCTGCAAACCGAGGTACTTATACAAAACTAGACTAAGGCAGCAAATATACAAATAGTTCTCTCTCCCTCCGTACGTCTTTATGTCAGCTTCGAGGAAAATAAACATGTGGATATTCTTTTAGCAAAAGACAATGTGGTTCTTCACAGATAGTACATTTCAGTGCTCGTCTACAGATGCAAAGTTATAGTAGAGGATTTGCATATTCGTTAGTCATATTGCACAGGTCAACTTACAAAAATAAGACACTGAATACTGCTCACACAACTATATATTTTTTTCTGTACATACAAAATAAAACGGTCCCATTTCGACGGTTGGTTCCTCGAACTAAACGAAACCAAACAAAACACACGACAACGACGACTACAAAGAAATAAAATAAAAAGTAAAGTGTGCTTTGGCAACAGTGGAAGCAAATGTGCCAATGCTAGTGAATGGGGTGGGTGGGTTGGGGTGGGTGGGAGAGGGAAGGGGAGGGGGGTAAATTGATCTATCGGAAATGCCGTTAAGACACAAGCAAAAAACCTTCAAGACTAAAAAGTGTCGCTTATTCCTATGGTGCAAAACGAGTAAACATTTCGATGACTTATACTGGTTCAGTAGTCGGGTGAAAGATCCTGAGAGCGTCCATTTCGTTCTATTTTTTTCTCTCTTTCTCTCTCCGTCTCTCGCAGTGGTTTGTATCTAGGGCAGCAGGGAGGAGGAGGAGGAGGAGAGAGGGAGGGAGGGAGGGAGGTGAGGGAGGGAGAAAGGAATAATAGAGGGCAAACGGAAGATTCCCCACCTCAGTTCACGCCGGCTGCTGTGGATTCATGTTCATGTGGGGAGGGTGTCCTAACAGCCCGATTCGTTGCTTTTGCTTTCTTTGTTCCGTCATCTTTGGAGGGACATGTTGAGAAAAACACACACACGAAAAAAAACGACCTCGGTAAACCGTACGCCACTCTCGAAACATTTTTGCGCCCGCGCGGGAAAGGGCCTCCGTGTGTCGACGCCGACGTCCTCCCGACGTGCAAGGCGCTCCACGAACGCCATTTGCTGTCGTCGTTGTGACAGGCGGCAATCACGTGCGTCAGTAAAGTTTCACAAGTGCTGATCGCTCGGTCGTATCAGGAGACGCCCGTAAACCAGGTCACGTATGAAAGAGGGCGTCCGCTTACGTGATGCGATTTACGCAGCAATACAACACCGCCGTCAATGAAACGGGCAGCTTTCATTCCAGTTCTGATGCTCAGTGAATGGTTGACCAGCTTCAAGGTATTTTATTATTCATCATTTAATAACAAATACTTCAAAAACCCCGAACTGCTGAACGCCCAGAAGGCAAGTCGTCGATGAATATTTAATAATAATAATCCTTGCATTTGATACAGCGCCCTATCACGTCGTTGAGACGTCGCCAAGCGCTTCGCGGGCTACGGTGTAAAGTGGATTGACTTGTGTATTTTGTGGGCGAAAGGCGGCAGCCGATTGCGCACAGCGGTGTCCCCCACAGACAGGTCGTGGATTGAGTGACCAAATTATTAAGAGTACTTTTTTTGAGAGAGGTTATTAACCCCGGAAAGCGATCCTCCAATTTAATAACAACCGGGTTCCTACTTTACTGCTCGTGTGTGGAGTAAGGAAACTTTGCCGAATGTTTCGCCCGGCCCGGGAATCCAACCCTGATCGTCTCGCTTGCGGGGCGAGAGCTCTAACCACCACTCAATGAGACCTCCACGTTTTCGTGGCGGATTTCTGAAACGTTACTTAAATAGCGAGCGACAATCTCTCCTGCTTCGTGCTGTACACTGTGGAGTCCTGTAGCTCAGCGGTTAGAGCACTCGCTTTGCAAGCGAGAGACCTGAGTTCAATTCCAGGCAGAGGGCCAAACCTTGGGCAAGTTTCCTTACTTCACACAGAGCCTAATGATAATCCCTCCAAAGAAAACAAAAACAATAATAAATTGGTCATTTTCAATCTACGACTGTTTGTGGGACATTGCTGTGCGCAATTGGCTGCCGCGTTCGCCCACAGATATACAGTCAATTCACTTTACAGTGTGTTCTGTGAAGCGCTTTGGGACGTCCTCCTGACGTGAAAAGCGCTATATCAAATGCAAGGATTATTATTATTATTATTATTACATTTGCCCTCTCTGAATCTGGCGAATAGGACAGACCTGACTGTAACACGGGCTGAGCCAAAACGGGAGCTATCTCACTGTGATCGCTAACGATTGCTATTTTGGGATTTCAGTCTATTGCAAAAGGGAAACGACATTCTAAAGACGTAGTGAAAATCTGGTTTATTATCAGTGATGAGCCTTGAGATGTCTCTCGTGGTCACTTTATCAATGGCATTATCTTCCACCAACCATAAAGTGTACTTCCCTCTCAACGTAGGAACGAAAAGGGAATATCACAGGCCACGATTTCTTTTAGGAATTCCTAGCCCTTGGGCAGAGCCTTTCACGCCAGGAGATCATCTCACTGTGGTTCACAGGGTTTCCTTGTAAAGCGAAGTGACTGTGTGTTTTGCTGTTTGCGCATGTGGGAGCCAATTTACGTTTCCAAACTTCCTCGAGCTCTTAAAATAATGGTAATTGCAGAGCAAAGCAGTTGTCTCAGCAGTTCGGTCACTCAACCGACGACAGCAACACACTGGATTTGGATAACACCTTGCATGAGGGAAGGACATCCCGAGGTATTGGGACAGTTAAGGGTTTGCATCCGAGCTGTGGGTTGGAATCAAGAGGGGTGGTGGGTAGGGTTAGGAGTGTGGCTGAAGGCACGGTCAAACTGGAAGGTCTTGAGATGGGCCTTGAAGTAGACAAGGGAGGGGGTGAGGCAGAGGGAGTCCGTTCCTAACCAATAAAGTGTTTAGGCTTCAAGGTTGACTGAGCAGCCAGTGAACCATCAATGGTGCTGTGTGTTAATTGCATTATCGCCTCGTTTCATGCTAGTTCTGTCTCACAAAGACCACGCTCACCTTTCTAACTCCATGGCAGGATATTACCAACCTGCTTTATTTGTCTCTGGTGTACCTGGTGGGTGTGGGGGGGGGGGGCGGAAACTCTTACACAGGAACTGACCACCAGTTTCTTTATTACTGTATCAACATGAGCAAATCTCCCTACTTTGGTTTCCTCTGCGATCACTGCGTGTGTGCGAGCGTGCGTATAAATATCCAACAAAGTCCTCATTCTAAATGGAGAGAAGGTGACGTCAAAGAAACTGACGGGATAAGAAGAGGGAAGTGTTGACGTGTGGAGAGTTTTTAGAAATAAGATTATCCGCTCACACTGGGGAAGTGTGAGACAGGTAGGCAGGTTCGATGTGTCACACCAAAGGCTGAACACGCATCGAGTGTAAAGTCAACTTTCTTCCTCAAACCTGTTGCCGCTTTCGCATTCAATAATCTGCTGCCACAGGTGGCGTCCTATGTCATGTTACGATGGCAGCACTCGCCTCGCACGTGAGAGGACCCGGGTTCGATTCCCGGGCAGGGCCAAACCTTGGGCAGGTTTCCTTACTCCACACGCACGGCCTCTGTTTACCGAGGAACCCGGATGTTAGTCGATTGGTGGATCGCTTTCAGGGGGTAATAATCCTCCAAAATAAATACTGATCACTCAATCCGCGACTGTGGGTGGGACACTGCGCTGGCTGTCACATTCACCCACAAATACACAGTATATCCTGCGAAGTGCTTCGAGACATCCTCCCAACATGAGAAACTGTATCCAAAGTGAGGATTATTATTTGTACAGTCCAGCCTGCATTCTACTCATTACACAATCCCTCAATCCCTCCGCCTTCGCTCCCTCTCTCCCCTTTTACAAGTCCCGCCTGAAAACCTCCGCCACCGTTAAGCGCTCTGAGACGCTACCCAGCGTGGAGGGCGCTACAGAAGTGCAAGTCGCTGTTACAACACTTGACCCGATCTTGCCAATCACTTGAACGGACAGGAATTTCCAACCGGTTTAGGAAATAGCCCGAGTCACGGCCATTACTCCTGGCCCCGGGGTTTTTGCTCACCTCCGCTGATGATTAAATAATAAAAAAAAGGGAAGGAATGATGGGACTTTAATGGAACAAGTTCCTTCTCCCAGGACAATCGGGGGAATATCAGCACGCAAGCGACTGACAAAAAGGGCGTTCTGTATGAGATGCAGCGAACAGCTTCTTGTGGCTTTGCTAAGAATTGGGTGCAATGAGCAGGTGTGAGACTGAAACTGGAACAGGATGATGTGCTGAAGCATTAGCTTCGCGCTGCGATTCTTTTTTTGTAGCTCGTTTCATCAAAATGCTGTCTCAGTTTACGCGTCTCCCGGTTAAAGGACATCCCTGAATATTACAATGATCCTGGTTTGCAGTCGAGTTTCTGGAGCCTCCTCATTTCTTGAGGAAATGGGTTGATGTCCCCCACAGCAGGACTTGAGTTCACAGTCTGGGCTGGGCGAGGGGTGCTGGGTGGGGTGGGTGGGGGCGGTGTTGGGAGGGGGAAGGGCACGGTTGGTTAGAGGGAGGGGATGCTGACATTGTCAGAGGTGCCATCCATCGGGTAACAAGTTAAGACAGATAAAGCTGTTCAGTTGGACATCAAAGAGAAGGGGGCTGGCCACAGGACTTGAGATAATAACAATAATAATAATGTTTGCAAATGATATAGCGCCTTATCACGTCATCAAGATGTCTCGGTACATACTGTAAAGTGGACTGACTGTATTTTGTGAGCCGAATAGATTGGTCATTCAACTCATGGCTGGTTGAGGCTGCATGCATTTTGGCTGCTGATTTTTTCCCCCAACAAAAGCACTCAACAGCAATTCTCTGCAATGTTGTTTGAGACACTTCAGGGCTAAAGGCACTACGACTGAATGCCTGGATCTCCAAAAGTGCAACGCTGACTTCCCTTTTCTTCTGGGGATGAGGAGGAGATAATAATAATCCTTGCATGTGATGTCGCACCTTATCACGTCATCTAGCTTCCCGAGAATTACTGTGAAGTCTAGTGACTGTGTACTTTGTGGGCGAAACACGACAGCCAGTTTGAGCACAGTATCGTCTGACAAACAGCCACAGAGCAAGTGACCGATATTTATTTGGACGATTGTTGGCTAGGACACGGGGTGAGAGAAAGTCTCTTCGTCAGCACATTAACTTCCCACCAAGTCTCCAGCTGAGATGCTCCAAATACCTCATTTCCCTGCTGTGTGTCGCAGGCTCGAGGCAGGGAAATAATAGCAATAATCCTTGCATTTGGCACAGCGCCTTATCGCGTCTTCTAGACGTCTCAAAGCGCTTCACCGAATACACTGTGAAGTGTAGAGACTGTGTATTTTGTGGGCGAAATGCGGCAGTCAATTGCACACAGCAGCGTCCCCACAAACAGTCGTAGATTCAGTGACCAAATAATTATTATTTAAGAACTTTTTTTTTTGAAGTATTATCATCCCCGGAAAAGCGATCTGTCAATTGACTAGCCACCGGGCTCCTACTTACTGCGAGGTAAGTAGGTGAGAGGCGTGCGTGTGGAGTAATGAAACTTGCCCAACGGTTCGCCCTGCCCGGGATTCGAACCCAGGTCCTCTCGCTTGCGAGGCGAGCGCTCTTAACCACTGAGCTACGGGATTGCAATTTGTCAGCACTTTCCAAAGATCCGACTGCTCCAGTCACTGTGGAACGAACGCCTGTGATTTTCGGTGGGGTTTGCGCGCTCAAACGCAGGGCCAGACGATATCCCCAGCTGGTGTCTCAGCTCTTCCAGCGAGGAGGACAAGGAGGACAGATAGTTATCTGATCTGTCTGAGCTGTATCCTAAACGTCAGTAAGGTGGTGAGTTCACGTGATCTCTCGTGTTAACCATTAACCATATCCCATGCCCTCGCACTCTCTCCCGGTGGGTGAGGTGAGCGGGTGGCTGTATTACTCATTCCCCCTGATGAGCACACACACACACACCACGTGCACACACACCACACACGCACGTACACACAACACGCACGTACACACAACACGCATGCACACACACACACACACACACACACACATCACACAGACACACACACACGCGCGCGCACACACAAAGGAGACCACCGTCAGGACATTTTTGACCACCACTGCAGAACGAACCTGCCCTGGGAAACTGCAGAGGGAAGGGTAGAAGAAAGTTCTTGTAAAGTTTCCCAAAGCAGCTCTGCAAACCACTTCCAAGAAAGAGATAAGAATGGTTTAGAAACCATAACAGCCCAACAAGTGTCAAGATTGTTTTACGTACACAGACAGGGGAGTTTCTTCTCACTCCACTCCACTTTACAGTAAAAATCCTGTGAAGCCAGCGGTTTGTAACGTCCTCCTGGTGCGAAAGACGCTTTTGTCAAATGAAAGGATTACTGTCATTAATTATTATTAATTGTTATGAAAAATAATAACAATAACCCAAAGAAATGAGCTGTGATTTGGGCGCTTTGAGCTAGATTGTAGCAGGAGATCCTCGGTTTCAGAGAGCAGGTTGATGGATTGGCTTTTACTGTAAATGAGACGGGGTTTCAGGCAGACACCGAGATGAATCACTCTCAACTTCACAGCGTTGCCTGAATCACCCGTTAACAACAGAAAAAAAAGAGTATGTAGAAAACTGCAACTCGTTTGGTGCAACCCTACCACGGTTCCTGTAAAAATGATGGTTCCTCTTACATTCGTTTCAATTTCAACTTCAACTTCACCTTCAAATACGGGGGAAAGCGTGGGGGCAGGTGTCAAAAACAGCACCGTAGCAAATTCAGCGCATTGTAGTGTTTCGCCCACATAATTCTCTTTATTATTATTAATAATAGACTTATGTGGCAATATAAAATAACTATAGTCACTATAACCTTTGCTGCAACTGGGACTGTTAATAAGACTATTCAGAAATGGTTTGACAAAATATCCGGTGAACAAAATATCAAACCTCCTGCAATAAGTAGTTATTTTAGGAAGCTCAAGTATATTAAGAAAAGTAGCATCTATTCATAATGCGACGTGCCAGTGTTATTGATCTGGCTGACCCACCACTGAAAACCACCTCGACACAGTAATTTAAACTGTAATAACATAATGATGATAATAATAATCCTTGGGTTTGATAAGGCACTTTCTCACGTCATTCAGATGTCTCAAAAGCACGGTGCAGGTTTAAAACAAGGCAGGAATTGGGAGACAACATCACAGTGTTTGAAACGCCAGACTGTAAAAATTGTGAGTGAAAATACTTTTAGGGAAGTGCTGTACGTCTGGAGAGAAAATAAAAGGGAAATGGTTGTACAGTTCTTGTCCTGGTCAATACAGCACACAAAGAACACCTGGTTCAGGTTTGTCTGGCTGATGTGGTGAGGAGGATATGTCCACAAGTGCTGTGATGATCAGCCTGTCCCAACAGCTTACTCTGATACGCGTGTCAAACTGGCTCAGTGGTCGCGCTCTCTTGGAAGCCAATTGCCCACAGCAGTGCCCCCCGACAAACAGTCGTAGATTGAGCGACCAAATTATTATTATTATTTTTCGGGGCTGGGGGGGGGGCGAGAGGAATTATTACTCCTCAGAAAAGCCATCCGCCAATCGACTAACAAACCGGTTCCCTACTTACTGCCGGGTAAACAGAGGCGTGTGTGTGTGCCTAAGGTTTCGCACCATTATTCACTGGCACCAGCGCTGGCAAAGCACCCGAGGGGATCAGTCACCCACCTGCTCCTTCAGCTCTGACAGCTGGCCGGACAGGTTGGTGACCAGCTTCATGGTGGACTCGAGCTTCTCCTGCAGGCTCCTCAGCTCGTTCTGCTCCCCCTCGGCATCGCTGCTGACCAGAGACATGGCTCGCATGCGCGGGAACCAGTCCAAGTTGTGCTCCTGGACAAGGGAAGAGATCAGATCGGCCAATTAATAATAATAATAATAATCATGATGATGAAACGCATCTCATTGTTTGTTTCTTTTGCGTCTGACGCTTGCGGAAACCCATCACCGTGCTTCAGAGCATCCAAACCAACAAACAGGTTCCTGCTTGCTGGTAAGTAAACAGAAGCGTGTGTGTGGAGTAAGGAAACCTCCCTAAGGTTTCGCCCCGCCCGGGGATCCAACCCGGGTCCTCTCGTTTGCGAGGCGAGGGCGCCGTCGGGTGTTTGCGGTGCAGGAGAGGGGTTTCACGGTCGACTGACTCAAAGCCCATCAAAGACGACGGCTCCAAAAGAAACGACAACACAAAATATATGCACACAAGGGGTTAACGGGTTCCACCAACGAGAGGCGTGACCGGAGATTTGAGAAACTGCACTCGGGCCAGTCACTGAACGTCATCGCAGCTCCCAGTCGCTGTGTAGTTACCTCACTTTGTCCCGTGCAATTGCTGGAAAATCCCGAAAAAAAAAAAGACCAGTTTCTTTGAACTCGTTTTGGTTGATGACATCAATGCTTTTCACCACTCTCCTTTGCCATGAAATATAACACACATTGTAAGAGGATGTGACTGCCCACCTCTCTCTCTCTCTCTCTCTCACTCACTCACTTACACACTCACTCACACGCGCACAGGGTTCTGCTTTCCTGGTTATATTTTAAGTGTCTTAACTTAATATTGTTTTGTCCCTTTTTTTAAAAAAAAAACGCAAGCACTTTTGAGGAGTTAATGGTTTCTTCCTCCTCCTCACCCACCCACCCACCCACACCCCCACCCCACCCCTCCGCACCCTCGCGCCTGTTTGCGGGGAAGTTGAACCGTGCGCAATTGGGCTGCCGCACCGCGCGGTCACGCCACTTCGCAGTAAAATCCTGAGAAGCGCTGCCAAGACACCTCGAAAGGCGTGAAAGGCGCTACACCAAACCCACGGGTCGTTCTTAAGGCTGGAGGAACCGAGGAGTGGCTTGCCTGGTGGAGGAGAAGCCCTCAAACCCAGTCCATTTTCTCGCGGGGTCAGGAAACCTGACTTAAGGTTGACGTCCCGCCCGGGGAATCGAACCCGTGCTCTCTCGTTTGCGAGGCGAGCGCGCTGCCCGCTACACTGCGGGGACTCCGCAAGGGCAACTAGCGTTTGATAAAAACCGCCTTTCACGGCGGGAGGACGTCTCGAAGCTCTTTGGCAGTAATTTAGGGTCAAGTGCAGTGATGATGTGTCATTGCCTACCAGTACGTATGTCCTGTTAAAGATAGAACAGAGAGAGAGAGAGAGAGAGAGAGCGGGGGAAGCGACGACTGATAAAATTCTGTGGGTGTGCGGGGGCGGCAATGAGGGCACACAAACGGGTAGCGTTTTATTTTCTCTTTCGCCCGTGTGTGTGGCACAGAGCCTCGTAAATCGGCCGCCCGGTACATCTGCGAAGTCGCCGGGCCACAGAGCACGAAAAAAAATAACTCTCTCGCTCTGCCTCATGAGCACGTTAGGACTCAGACACCCTATTGAACTCCCACATACCAATGTTATTGTGTACTGTCTGATTAAGTCCTCCTACTCTGTGCCTGCAAGTCCGGGCACAGAGATCGTGGGCCGTCAGACAGTCTCTTCCTTTTCGAGCAGCAGATGACTTGACTGAAGTCCCGAGAGTGTGTGAAATAAACCGCAAGAGGAAGTTGGCCCACCACAATTCTGGGCCTGGGTTCCTTTGCTTCTCGGTAAAAATAAAAGTTGGAAAAATCCCCAGAACGCAACGTATGTTTGCAGATGTGGAGGCGGGTTAACCGATCTGTTTGTCTCTCTTTCTCTCTCTCTCTCTCCTCGCTCTCGCTCTGCAGCGTGGGACTGACTGCATTGGCAGCCAATGCGATCAGGCAGACGGGCGGGCGGGCAGGTCTGGCACAGTGTTGTCTGAAACTCGTAGCAGGAGACTGAAGAGAAAGCCTTTTTACAGTTTGCGGTTCTGGCCTCATTCGTTTCCCATAAAGCGATAATTGCAAGGGGAAGGGGGCGGCGGGGGGGGGGGGGGGAGTCGGGGAGGAGGAAGGGGTAGAGAAAGAGAGGAGAGGGGAGAGGCAGAAGAGAATTCTTTTACATGTAAAGACACAGAGCTCGCTCAACATCTGTGCCATCTGTCCTTCGCCCACACTGCACAGCGGGCACCCAAAAAAAAAAATAATCCACGCAAGTTGGGTGGCACAGGGTAACTGGACAGAGCACAAGCTACCGGTTCGAATGAGGTTCATCCGAACAAAGGTTAGGGAAGCAAGAGCTGGGTTCGCCCCAGCGCCAACGCGGAGTATTTCTGGGAGATTTCTTCAGCCCCCGGAAGCAATTCGGAGCCTGTCCTACCGACGGGAACGGCACCGGGCGATGTAAATCGACCACAGTTTGCCCACGGCTTCGAGAGTTGGCGATTTTAATAATAATAATAATCCTTGCGTTGACAATAGCGCCTTATCAGGTCATTGTGATGTCTGAAAGCGCTTCACGGGAAATATACCGCCATGGAATGAGAGACCGATGATATTTTGGGGGATTGTTGGCCAGGACGCCTGGAGGGAGAGAGAAACTAATAATAATTTCCAATAGTGCTACGGGATCTTTAACGTCCACCCGAACAGGCAGAGGGGACATGGGCTTAACGTCTCATCCAAAGGACAGATTTTATCATCCGAAGGAAGGCAGTCATTTAAAAACTCATCTTGTTCCACTTTCTTACTAATGCAAATCATTAAATGGAAACGTCACTCCCCCCCCCACACACACACACTCATGTAGACACGCGCACACACGCACGTAGACGCACACACATGCACACGCGCACACAGCACCCTCAATTTTCTCTCTCTCCAACTCTCCCCGAAGCCCTTGGGCCTGTTCCTTCTGGCCTTTGGTTCAAAATCAATCTCTTAGATACGCTTCTCTTTGCCGAATGCCTTCAAAATTTCCTCTCAACAATGACAACAACCACCAAATTATCTTTGTATAGCGCCTTTCACGTCGGCAGGACGTCCCAAGGCGCTGGACAGACAGAGTTTCGGACCCGAGTTGAGGGTTGGGGTGGGGGAGGGGGCCAGGGCGGGGGGGGGGAAGCAGGGAGACTGAAAGAACGATCGAAGAGAAGGGTCTTGAGGTGGATCTTGAAGGCGGTGAGAGATGGGATGAGATAGAGGGACTGTGGGATGGACGTACAGAGTGGCGTAAGGCCCGTTCGCCGATAGTGGGGCGAGCGAGGCGGGGGACATGAAGCAGGCTGGAGCCCTCTGAGCAGACGGAGTGAGCAGGATGGTAGGGGGTTAGGAGGTCGCAGAGGTAGGCAAGAGCAAGACCATGGAGGGCTTTGAAGGTGAGGACCAGGATCTTGAACTGTATCCTCTGTGTGATGGGAAGCCAGTGGAGTTGGGCGAGGATGGGAGTGATAGGGTCACGGAGTTTGGTGCGGGAGAGGACCCGGGCTGCAGAGTTAGTTCTGGATGATCTGCAGTCTGCGGAGGGAGGCCGACAAGCAGTGAGTTTGCGTAGTCGAGTCTCGAAGTAATGGAGGCGTGTAGGAGGGCTTCGGCGGCCTGAGATGGTGTCGGAGCCGGACGACGTTGCGGAGGCGGGGGAAGGCAGAGTGGGGCGAATGTGGGGTAGAAAAGATAGTCGAGGGTCGAACAAGACCCCGAGGTTCCAGACTGGCTTAGCAAGCTTGAGTGTGCAACTCTCCTTTCCCTCCCTGCCAGGCTGATACTCACTGACTTTGCTCAGCGCAAGTGATGGGGATTATACAGTGGTGATATTAATGATAATAATAATAATCATAATAATAAAACGATAATCCTTGAACTCGACACAGAGCACCGAACAGAGTCACAGCATCTCAATGCCCTCCACGGGGAATCGCTGTCGAGTGTAGTGTCTGTGCATTTGTTGGCAAACGAGGTGAAACACAGTCGCGTAATCTAGAATGAGCAATTTTACCCGGGGAGGGGGTTTGCGGGGTCATTTATATAGAGAAAACACCCGATGGCCGACGACTTAAGCGGTAGTGACGAATTAAGCCGGGGTTGAGTTATCAGCAGTTATGCATTGCTTTTTAAAAATATATAAAAACGTGGCAGAAAATTCGAAGGTATGAATGAAAGTGGAACTTTCTCTCCCCCCACCGCCACCCCCCCCCACCCCCCCCCAATCTCTCTCCTCCCTCCTTGCGCGATTCACACGGTTCCTGTGCATCAAAGCAGCGAGGGCCAGACGAGTCGGGAGGCGGAATGATAGAGAAGTGAGAGTGATCGATGGTTTCATGATCACTGATTTGTGTGCAGGGGCTATATTTAGATTCAGTCACCCGAGCCTGGAAATCACGTGCTCATTTATTTCCGTTGCGACTTTCGAAAAAGATATATATTAGATATAAATATATATATAATACATAAATACATGAATCAAAACCCTCCAAAAAAAAAAAAAGAGACTTCGATGCAAATTTTGAAACGTGGGGGGGGGGAGGGGGGGGGGGGGAATCATCGGATCATCGCTCAGCCACCTCAGCCCCAGCGAACGGGGGTGGGGGGGGGGCTATTCTATCGGTTTGGCTACAGCCCCGAGGTGCAAGAGGATACAGTGAGAGGCCGGGCTTTGAGCAATCCCAGGGGTGGCCGGCAGACAGGAGAGCCCGGCAGTCAGACATCACCTGACTGGCACAGGTTACCAGACAACAAACAGCCAGGCCTTGACGTCTCCACTGCTTGACGGGCAGCAAAGAGCCAATGAACTGCGAATAAAGCAGCCCAAGTGATCGTTAACCTTGGGTGGTGCAGGGGAGGACAGGGTTCCACGTGACCCACCGTCGAACAGCCGAAAGGTTTGCTTTAAAGGGACAGAGCGCCTTGCTCCACACACACAGCGACGTGTGTGTGTGTGTGTGTGTGTGGGGGGGGGGGGGGGGTGCGAAGGGGATGATAGCCGGCGTGAGGG